TGGAGATAAAAATCTCACAGATTTGTTTGCCCTGGATGGTTCTGAATCGAGAACCTGAGATTTTAGCCTCTTGAGGAGCCAAGATTACAGGTGTGAGCCACCAGCACCCAGCTGAGAAAAGTCATCTTTTAAAACAGATTTGCATGAGTAGGAAAGTGAATATTATAAAGAATGAAAGAATAATGCTATGATATATTCCCTTTTACTACATATATTTGTCAGCTTCCACATAACAGGGTTATCCTGAAACACAAACATGGCTAGATAAAAATAGCTCAGGATACATGCTTTTTTTCCTCAAACCACACAAAAATAGGTAAGCCAAAAGCAGTGGGTGCTCCAGCAACTCCTGTAAATGCCTAGGAATGGTGAAAAGGAAGTAACTGTCACATGAAATGTGAATGGCAAAAGGGAAGTAACTGTCATGAAATAGGGAAAGTCAAACCCAGTTACAGCAATTCTAGAAGATGACATGGGTAAAGACAATCTAGGACTGTGAGATGTCTCATTCATAAAGTTTGTCTCTTGCTCTTCATACCATATACCATTTAGAGTGCATTTATTCATAAATATTCCTTTTTCCTGCTAGACTGTAAGCCTCTTAAATGCAACAATCAAATTCTTGAACTGTTAGGCAGTTTTGCACATTGCAGGCAACTGGTCAACCTAATTCAAATTATCAAGAGTTGGTAGTATCAGTGAGTGGATAATAATGAATGACATGTCATTCTCAAAGAATTCTAAAAATCCAGGAAAAACATAGACATACCATAGTGAAACAGAAAAATCAAGAATAGCCAGCGATCTCTTTTTAAAGAGCTTAGATACAGAAGGTAGGACTTAAAGAGATTGTTTGTGGCAATATATATTCTTGAAGAATCCTCTTATTAAAAGTTATATATTAAAAATACTGAAACTAAAAAAAAAATGGTGAAACTCAAGCTGGGTGCTGGTGGCTTATTCCTGTAATCCTAGCTACTCAGGAGACTGATATCTGAGGTCTGAAGTTAAAAGCCAGCTCAAGAAGGAAAGTCCATGAGATTCTTATCTCTAATTAACCAGCAAAAAGCCAGAAATGGAGGTATGGCTTAAGTGGTAGAACATCAACCTTAAGTGAAAAATTTACAGAACAGCAGGTCTTCCGTACTAGAACAGACATACAAAATACAATAATGAGGCTTATGAGGACAAATGGGAAAACTGCTCAGCCCCTAGGAAGCTTTGGAACTTAAGCACTAACTCAAATGTTAACATCCTACTAAAAAATACTAGCATAGTAAAATCTCAACTGGTATATGAACTTGCAATCCTTTATAGCTGTAAGCCTTGGGACTCCTGCTTCTACCTTCAAAATGTAGGTCTTGCAGGGTATTCATTTCCAGTAAACCTATTTCAAGTTACGACTAATCTAAAGTTAATCAATCCATTTATTTCCATCATCCTACTGTTGTACTATAGAAGGAAATGTCCTTGAACATCTTTCATTGGTATCTGTAGTATCTCAGGCACTACTTACATAAACTTGTGACACTTCTATTTTCTGTCATCTCTTTGATGGTCTATATATTTTAATTGTTAAGAAATAAATAATGTATTGGCTAAAATCATGGCAGAACCAATATAGCTTCTGAGTTACACTAACCTCATTTTTAAACGCATCAAAAATACATTTACCAGAACAGATAAGACTGGTAAGTGGCTAATCCAGAATTTTCATATGTGACCAGAATCTAAAGTAGGAATAGATTTCTAGTATGATTTCTATTTGTTGAGGCTAACTATGTAGCAGGCATGATGCTAAATACAAGCATACAATGATAAGGATTAATCTCCTTTATTCTTCACATAGACTATACACAGTAGATGAAGAAATAGTTATTTAACAAGATTATGGGGTATTCATCTCCACTCAAGTTCCCAAAGCTGGTAAAGCTAGGATTTGGATCTAGATCTTATTGAACATGTGGTCTCAGTTATTAATAACCACAATGAAACAGTATTGCAGCCACAGAAAGGGAAAATAATTCTATAACATTTACTGACAACACAACCTCACAGCCTTCATCCAACTGGTACAAGTTAATGTTAAAAGTGGGCATGATGTATGTACACTGAGCCTTTTAGAAGTACTTGTTATTGTTCCTGATATATCTTTCTGGCTAGGATACAAGAGAAATCTGTCAAAATGGCTAAAGAATTCCTGCTAATTGCAGACATTTCATCAAGTACAAGCTGCACTGAATATTCTTTGGACATTTTGACTTACGTTAAAGCATAGGTTCTCACAACCCTATGATGTGTGGGCTGATTTGTACTTGATGTTGTGCATAGGTTTATGGATGAGGAAACTGAGGTTCCAAGCTTAAGAAACTGGCATATGGTCACACAATTGGTAAATAAGTGGTAAAGCTAGGATTAAAAACTAAGCTGTTTGGAGTCCAGAGTCTGTCTGCATGCTGGATCTAAATAGTTTCTCTCATGGAAGGAGACAGAGATCAAAGCACTATAATGTGGGACAAAAAGAAAAATTATACATACATATAGTGGAATATTAGTAAAGGTCTGAGCAATTACTTTTTCTTAGTGTTGTGGGGGAATGGTGTGCCAGAAGGAGTTCAGCAAAGCAGATGTCCATTAACTTTCAGGAAGGAGGGCTCTCCCTCCCACCTCCTTCCCTTCTTGCTTCCCTCCCTTCATTTTTCAGTTATTGGGGCAGAATCTTACTGTTACGTAGGTCAGGCTAGCCTTGAACTTGCTATGTAGCCCAGACTGCCTCCACCTTGTGATCCTTCTGTCTCCATCTACAAACACAACTGGCTCTAAAGCTTATAAAAGTTATGCAGCTGAAGTCAGCTTTAGACTCTTGAAAGTTACAGGGGCACTGCCTTCTTAGATGCACAGATAGAATTAATGCCTAACTCTTGATAACTTTCTTGTCCAGATATTGAACTGACTTCCTTATTTCATTCGTTTATTTGTTTGAGTGCTCTCTGAGGTCATTTTCCATTTTAAAAACTAGACTTGTGAATTCTTTAGCAAGAATTTCAACCATTTCAGTGTACCTGGATTCAGTTATTGAATTAGGAACTCTTTCTTTTCTTTCTTTCTTTCTTTCTTTCTTTCTTTCTTTCTTTCTTTCTTTCTTTCTTTCTTTCTTTCTTTCTTTCTTTCTTTCTTTCTTTCTTTCTTTCTTTCTTTCTTTCTTTTGTTGTTGTTGATGTTGTTGTTTTTCCCTTCCCCTTCCTTTTACTTTCTTTTGCTACTACTGGAGCTTAACTTCAGATTCTTGTGCTTTTGATCAGGTTTTCTTGCTCATGGCTGGTGCTCTACCACTTCAGTCATGCCTATAGTCTGACATTTTATTGCTTACATGGAGATGGAGTCTCTCTGACATTTTTGTCCATGGCTGGCTCCAGACCTTGATCTTCTAGGTCCCCTTCAGCTTTGTGAGTAGCTAGGATTACATGTGCGAACCACAGGTGCCCAGCTTTGGTTATTTTCACTATAGCATCATGCTTTATTCCCAGGCCAGCCTGGACTTTGATCTTTCTACATGCACCTGTTAGTGTCACTGTGGTGACAAGTGGGTGCCACTGTGCCCAGCCATTGTGCTTCCCTTGTAGCTGTGATAGTAGACATGCATCCTTACTTGCAGCCAGGAACAGAGATGGAATCTTGTGAACTGATCCACTCCCACTGGCTGGCCTGGAACTGTGATCCTCTAATATCTGCCTTCTAAGTAGCTAAGATTATGGTTTGAGCCACTGAGCCTAGCTCATCATTTTTTTTGTTGTTGTTGGTCGTGGGGCTTGAATTCTGGGCTTGGGCACTGTCCCTGTGCTCTTCAGCTCAAGGCAAGTGCTCTACCACTTGAGCCATAGTGCCACTTCCGGTTTTCTAGTGGTTTATTGGAGATAAGAGTCTCACGGAGTTTCCTGCCCTGGCTGGCTTTGAACCATGATCCTCAGATCTCAGCCTCCTCAGTAGCTAGGATTACAGGCATGAGCCACTGGTGCCCAGCCTGCATTGCTTATCTTAAACATTCCTTTTCCACAATACCAGCCTGTTTGTCTGTGGGGTTTCCTGAGCCTTACCAATTCCTATAACCAATTCATACCTTCATTATTTTCACCATCCTTGGAGTAGTTTCAAAATCTCCCATTGAAGAAAATAACTATGCTTTACTTTGTTGATAATTACTAGTTCCATAATATCCACAGTCCCAGAGCAACTCTGCCTATGAGCTTGGGATGCCAACGGCAGATTATTACTTGGTGTTCCCATAATACTATCGTATCTCATTTTGTCCTATTTATTGAAGAAATATTCAAAGATAGGTAAGTTATCCCACTTCCCAAATTGGTGGAGAAACCCAAAGCAGGCAAAATGGTTCCATTTCCATGCGTACAACTTCCTTCTCTTCCTCAAGCAGCCAGAACCTGCTTTTCTCCTTTATTCTGGCAACTAAATGGCCAGTTCCTGGTTCTATGGAGCCCGGGGTGGGCAGAAGGAAAGCCCACTCAGCTAACAGTGAGGCCACAGCTGGGAATATGACTCATGCCAGACCAAGAAAGAAAAGGAATGGCTTTAGAAATGTAGTGATCATGGGATAATGGGGGATCTGTAGGCCACTCTCTTTTACAGGAAGGTGGATAGGGAAATCATTCTTGATGAGTGAAACAATTCTTGGAGAATGAGATAATTCCTTTCTTTCTTTCTTGTCAGTTGTGGGGCTTGATCTCTGGGCCTGGGTGCTGTCCCTCAGCTCTTCAGCTCAAGGCTAGCGCTCTACCACTTAAGCCACAGCATCACTTCCTGTCTTCTGGTGGTTAATTGGAGATAAGAGTCTCACCGACTTTCCTTCCCCGAGATGGCTTTGAACGGCAATCCTCAGAACTCAGCCTCCTGAGTAGCTGGGATTACAGGCATGAGTGACAGGCACCTGGCTGAGAATGAGGTAATTCCTTTGGAAAAGACTAAGAAAATTCAAGTTTACTTACTGATACAAGAAATCAGATCATTAAATCTTTCCTTAGGAAAGAGGGGATTTTCCAGCCCACGGAAATAGAGCTTCAGAACACCAGCCACTGAATTAATGTCATGGTTACTCTGATCATCAGCCAAAGGGTTTTCACCTAAAACAACAACAACAAAAAGAAACCCATCTCATACACAGTCCTTTGGTTTTAATCGTCTCTCAATAAGAACATTTCTGTATACACATGTGCACACAACATTGCTATATATACAGAGATCTTTTAATTATGTTTTATGAGAGATTATATGGTACTAAAATTAAAATAATTGGTTGAGATATCCTACCCCATGATTAACCCAAAAATAGCTGACTAAAATAAAGCTTTTAAAAAAATCGTGTGCCGCCAAACACTCTCTTACAAGTTACCAAAATCTTAAAATAAAATATTGTGGGATTTTTATAATTTTACCCAACATTCTTTTAAAGCTAAATTCAGTAATCTTGGTTAGACATAAATTCTTAAACTACATTTTGGGTTTGTTGAAAACTTTCAAAAAGTTTCAGGTGGAGGTCTTTCTGGATATGCTATCTGGGTCACTAAACCTTATCAGAAAAAAATCAAATAATAGCTGTGAACACCTTAAATTAAATAAACCAGTAGTTTGCAAAGTATGATGGTGTTTCACAGGTCATGTAAAAGTTGTCATGGACAGTCGGAGATTCTGAAATCAGGCAAAGGAATTGGAAAATGTACCTTTAAAGGGTACCAAGGAGTTTGTGTGGAAAATGGGCGATTTGATTTTAAAAAACCCACAAATAGAAAATTACAGTTTTTATTATGATAAAAAAAATTTGAGATATTAGGTAACTGACATGGCCAATCTATGTCTCTGAAAATAAAACTGAGATAAAATCCTTATGAAGCTTAATACAATGTATAACCTTAAATCAAACTGTACTTTTTTTTTTTTTTTTTGTGACAGCCCTGGGGCTTGAACTAGACTGGTAGGCTATCCTTTAGCTTTTTTGCTCAAGGCTAGCACTCTACCACTTGAGCCACAAAAATGGATTTTGGGTAGTGAATTGGAGATAAGACTTTCCTGCGGGCTGGCTTTGCGCCTGATCCTCAGGTCTCAGTCTCTTGTGTAGCTAGGACTACAGGCGTGAACCACCAGCAGCTGGCTAAACTATATTCTTTATTCACAAGTCTACTCTGTTGCTTTCTAAAGTTCACAAAAAGTGTTCATTGTTTCCAATACAGGGCCTTGTACTCAGTTTTTCAAGTTCTTGCTCAGCTTTTTTTACTCATAGTTGGTGCTATATACTACATGATCCACATCTCCAGTTATGGCTTTTTGCTGGTTAATTGGAGATAAAAAGTCTAGAGGATTTGCTATCCTTTTTTCCTTACCCTTCCCCTGCAGGTGACGGGTGGTTTATTCTTAGGATCCTTTTTGCCCTTTTTCAAGGCAGGAAATCACTAAACATGAACTGGCTAAAACTATTTCTATTATTATTATTATTATTACTATTATTATTTCCTCACTATGATAAAAACTTTCCTTAAACAAATCACAAACAAGTTTCAAATCAGGGAAATTTCCAAGAAAAAAAATAACAGAGGGTTGGCCTGTGGTAGCTGGCACAGAATCCACATTCCCACCTATTCTCTTGAATACAATCAGTGTCAGAGATATGATACTTCTAGCTGCTGGTGGGAAGGTTGTTTTGCTCTAATAGAGTTTTGGACAGAGAATTTAGAACTGGATTAAAACAATGTGGTCCCCAAGTTATACTAACAAGGCTTTGTCCCCAACTTGTACTAACAAAGCTTCAAACTAAAGGCTCTATACCAAGACTAGGCCAAATGGACAGAGAGATAGAGAGGAGAAGGAGAGGATAGAGAGGGAGAGAAGAAAGAAGAAGAGGTGGAGGAAGTGGGGGATAGGCTCTTCTCCATGCCACAATCATTCTTCATTTTTAACATTGATCAAGAATAGGAGAAGGCACAGGTGTACTGAAAAGTGGATACACTAGACTTCACTAAAAATAGAGAGCATTAGCAAACAGTAGCAATCAATAAAGGGTTGGTATTTTCACAGATTACATCTAACCCTCTTACAACAATCTCACAATTTTGTAGATGAAGACACTGTGGCCACTGGAGTCACATGATCCAAATCCTATAGCTAGTAAATGAGAGTCTAATGTGATTCTAGATGTGTCTGATTTCATTCTGGGTGTGGTATTGTGAACTGCAATGTGTTAATTAATAATCCAGTAGAATTTATATGACAGCCAATTATGAACATGAGGTACCAACTAATGTCACAGAAAAGGAGCCTGGGAGGGTAACAAGAAGAAGGAAAGAGTTCCTGACAAAGGAAAGATGGCCACCTTTGACCTATGTCATGGATGAGCTACCTTCATCTTAAACTAGGATACAAAATTTGTATGCTTTCATACTTTTAAGAACAAAGGCTCATTGGGGCCACATTTCTCTGCTATTCTGAATACATTCTTATCCCAGCATCCTCAGTGAAATGAATGCAAATATAAAGGTTTAGGATTTTATAGAATGAGTATGCCAGCACAAAACGATGATGTTTTAACATGTTTTGCTTACAGGTAGGGACACTAAATTACCTCTCTCAAATGAATTTTTAATATCGTTGACTTCTACCTGGGAACCCGATACTCTGAAAATCCCCTGGTGCTGGAGACCTAAAGGAGATAGTAGGAAAAAAGGGTGAGAAACCCCATTGAATTATTCTTTATTAGAATTTTCATTAGCATACATTACTTGCATGTGATACCTACCAACCTCATTCCCCTTTCTCTTTAAAGTAATCTCATTGTTGCATCTACATATAAAGTACTGTGACTAGAATTTGTTCTCATTCACCCTCTCCATTCACTGTCCCCTGCTGATACCTGCCCTTCAATAGATTCACTTTTACCTCCTGTCATCTATATTTTAAAAAGTATACATTAATTCCATCAAAGATGAAAACTCACCAAATTCTGTCTTTTTTGCAATAATTAAATGTTAAATAAAGAAGATACACTTACAAAACACTCTCAGTGAATGTGTGGTGTGTGTATGTGTGTGTGTGTGTGTGCCAACCCTGGGGCTTGAACTCAGGGCCTGGGTGGTGTTCCTGAGCTTCTGTGCTCAAGACTAGTGCTCTACCACTTGAGTTATAGCTCCACTTTGGACTTTTTGGTAGTTTATTGGAAATAAGAGTCTCATGGACTTTCCAACCCAGGCTGGCTTTAAATGATGATCTTCAGATCTCAGCCTCCTGAGTTGCTAGCACTGGCAACCGGCATGCTGAATATTTTATAGGAGAATCCTATAGTTTATGGCTTACCATAGAGATTGATAAACCGAATACAGCTTTCCACAATGAGGGGTATAATTTGTCCTGAATCCTGAGGAAAGAGATGGAAATCAGTTAAATTCCAAGGAGAGATCTGACACACACATAGTAACAGAGGCTTAGTTCAACATTGGATTAGAATGGTTTTTACTCTTTTAGATAATCATTTTGAAATCAAATTTCTGAATCCAAAATATTCTACAAGGCCAAAGAAGATAGAACAGTTTATATTTAAACAAAGATATAGTTTAGTTCTGGAACAAACCAAATTAAATATATTGAACACAAGGAAGCAATGCTGCTTTGACTTACTCTGTACACCGTGATGTTAAAATCTCTCCCCTCTCCCTTTTCTTTTGGTCCTCTCTCTCTCTTTCTGTGCCAATGCTGGGCTTGAACTCAGGTGTTGTCTCTAAACTTTTTTGCTCAAGGCTGGCCCTCTACCACTTAAGCCACAGCTTTACTCCCAGCTTTTTGGTAGTCAATTGGTCTCACAGGCTTTCCTGTCTGGGCTGATTTTTAAGCCACAATCTTCAAATCTCAGCCTCCTGGGTAATTAGGATTATAGGCATGAGCTAAAGGCTCCTGGTTCAAAATCTTTTACTTAATATTTTGGCTTACATAAACAAAAGTAGTAACATTGTTTGAAAGGTTGCTGATAGAAGTGATCAATTTTTAAAAATGAAAATAATGTTATTTATAGGCACAGCATCTCAGGACTGAATAGTCACCTAAGATAACCTTCCAACAGTCTTGGAATCCTCCAACTACAGCCTGAGAGGTGTGACATCACCTAGATGATGAATTGCAAGAGAGCTCTAATGGTTACAGATGCATTACATGAGAATTGCTTCCAAGGTAATGAAAATGTGTCATATATTTACTTGGTTTGTACCACATTTTTCATGCTTCAAGGATTAAGAAAGAATCACTCAGATATACGTCCCATTAGATTTCATTTTCTTAAGCAAGAAGATTTTTTTTTTGGCCTTCTTTCTCCACATCTTATAAAACAGTAACTGCTCTTTACGGAATCAATGTAAATTTTGGAAATGCTTTAAACAAACTCTAGGATGACAGATGGGATCAGGTTGCTGCTGCAGCCGGTTTAATAATATCAATGCCATGCACTGCACTGGGGTAAAGGAAGTTACTGAGAATAGAGTTGTTTTTATGTGCTTTTAAGACTCTGATCTTTCAGGAATTAGATCTTTAAAGGGAACATGAGGTTCAAAATGATTAGGCTAACATCAGTTATATATTCATGAGGAATTTTATTCTGAAACACAAGGACTTGTTTGTCTTAACACATTAGGACATCCAGAATCCACTAGCTTTTCCAATTAAGCACTAAGGGAAAGGTTAGGAATAAGGCAGTCCAGTAATTTAAGCTCTTTATTTCTAGAGTGGGTAATTACTTCTTAAGAAATAGTTTTCAGTTTTAAGACAATGTATAAGCCAGCCCATGGTTCAGTTACTTCTGAAGTTTATATTGTTTTTCTAATTAGTTAATTTTAGGAACATACATTTTCAGTAATTCCTTAAAGATGAGCCATAAGAATAAAAACACATTTTAGAATGGGATAGTTTGCTTGCAAATAGCATTGCAGTTACATCAGTTTACTGAATGCATGAAGGAATTTTTCTTTAAGACACAGAATGTGCAGTAAAAGTAATTATTATATGAAAAATTCATGTAGCACTGTAATTTGAAGGGTGACAAGTATTTAAATGTGGTGAAAGGAGAATATTAGTTTATGTCTTGATTGTGCTTAATATTAAAACAAAAACAAAGAATGAAAGATGATTAAAAGAAAAATGTTTGCATGAAGAAATTCCTAAAAAATTAAGCTTTCAAACCATTTACTTTTTTTTTGTCTTTATGGTCACTCAGTTGAGTATTAATCTTTTAGCTGTGATTGTTGTTTCAGATGTAATGAATTTTTGTAGTCACAATGTAATGAGTACGTGTTTGCACGTGCATGCACGTATACGCATGCATGTGTGTGTGTGAATTTAATTTCATTGATGCCAGATGCTTGGATAGAAAGTATTTTACCAGAAGCGAAACAATGGGCTCCAGCTACCATTCAAACAAATCTCAGTTTCCCTAAAGGAAGTCATGATTTGCAATTACAGGCTCACAGGGACATTGGGCAGATCTCAAAAACCCTTTAGAGGGGCAGAGAGAGACAATGGGAGGCCTCTGCACCTCTCCCGTGTTACTGCTGTTACAACGATTCCTTCACGCACCACCTAGGATGGGGAGGAACTTACGGAAGTGGGCTACTCTAACTGTTCTTAGGGATAATCTCTGAAAAATAAACACCTTCTTCAGCAGCCATTTTCATACTTTGTGAACAAATATAATGGATCACTTCTGCTTCTGAGCCTGTATTTGCTTTCTTTCCAAACCATCAGCTGCATTTCTCTTTGCTTTTATTATTTCCTCTCTTTTTTCCTCTTCCCCTTCTTCTCCTCTCTTCTCTCCCCTTCTCTCTCCCTCTCTTCTTCTCCTTCCCTCCTCTCCCCATCTCATTTGCCTCTGCTTATAAGCCAGGGCTTGGAAACTAGGTAATCAAATTTGATAATAATTTTACAGTGAATTAGAGCCAATAAAGCTCTTCTGGGTTTAAAGCTCAAGGCAATGGATTTGTGATCTCCATGTAGGTTGCTCACTTAATTCCAGGAGTAAGGCTCATTTTTAAGGCTGCCAAAGGTCTCATTCTCAGTATTCATATATGTAGGTCTGTATATATGCATGTGTATTTTGTGTTTGTCTATCCATATACATGCATACACACATGCTTGTTTTTAATAATTAGGGTGAATATTCAATAAATACATCTACCTTTAAGAGAGTTGAGATGTCTATAACATACCAATTAAGGTTTCACACATAAATTTAGTCTTTTTAAAGCACTGTAGCTCCTGCATTAACTATGAAGAAAGAAAGCTCCTTTCTTTTGTGTTTAATTTACATCAGTTTCTAAAATCCAGTACTAAATGTGCACTTGATGTTTAACACCGACTTAGCATAACCAAAGCTGCTAACTAAAATTTCATACGTTTTTCCAAAACACATCATGTAACAGCTGAGTTTAATCTATCTACTTTTACTGGAGAAGACTATTTCTCTGAAATAAGCGTCTGATTCCCATAGATTTTTTTCTAAGTAAAGCCTATTATAAGCGTGTCTGATTCCAACTGCAAACACTTTTCTTTTAAAGACATTAAACAAAATCTAATCAAAGCCAAGCACAAGAATGAATTGAAAAGGAGGCCAGCCGTGTGCTCACTTCCCCTCCTTGTGATACCTGATGTCTCGCGTGCGAGTTCCTTCGTCCCCGGCTAGAAGCATTATCAGAAATACAGGAGGAAAAAGAAGACAGAAAGTAAACACAGCAGAGATAAGATAAAGGCTACAGGGCCTTACAATTTATCCAATATAATGAATTCCTCAAGTCATGGGAAATCAGGACTTGCTATGCTTCCAAGTGAGCCTAATGAATAGATTTAACAGTGTATATTTTGTGCTATCGCATTTGCACAAGTAAACCCAAAACCTTTTATCTCTTCTTTTTTTTTGGTATAGATTATAGCTTAAAAAAAGAAGAAGGTTTTTTTTCTTATGCCCACACAATAACATCTACATGTGTTTCCTCTTTTGAAGGCACTCAACCCAAATATTCTTTCCTCTCTGACTTCAGGAAATATTATATTGATTATCTGGGAAAGCAAAGAGCCCCAGGACAGACTTGGACATAATGGCTTGCCTCCTTTTATGAGAGGCGAAGGCCATTATAGTGAGAAGCGTGGAGGTCAGCCACCCAGGTGGCCGGTGCCAGTACCTTGATGAATGTTTCCAAATCCCCATTAAACAACTTAGCATTATACTGTGAGCGGGGTCTGGACTTCCTGTGTTTCTGGGGCTTAGGGGGAACATTTGGAGGCCTAAGGGAAGGGAATATAATTACTGAGCAAGGTAGAAATCAAACAATAAATGAAACACCCATAGGTCACATTAAAATGACAAAAATCTGGGGTCTTGAGTTTGTTACCAATTAAGCCCCCATGGGAGAATATAATCCCACCTCTTCCCATATACTTTTACTTATGTTTTACAACCCTGTACAAGCTGATTATTTAGACTGCTGTTTTCTTATATGTTGCAGCTGTTGTCTTATACATTGTAGCTGGCATTTGTTTGTTGGCTAGCTTGTTTGAAAGTGATAAGTCTTACCAACTGCAGCTGTGAGCCAGCTGGCCCAATGTCATAGGCAGGGTTCTTGTTATTGGATTTACAAGTCACACAGTTAAGATACAATAAGTAAGAATTGAGGCTTTATCGGACCCTCAAATGAGAAGCTAAATAATATGTTTTAGTTGCAATTCTTCAGCATAAGTAACATCAGATCCATTCACCTAGTCCTTAAGTATTAGTGGGCTTTTATTTTTATGCAAAAGTAACTACTAGTGGGTCAAAAGTGAGGAAAAAGTAGTATATGGAGTAAATGTTTCTGAATGGACAGCATGGTCTCCCATGAAGTATTTCTGTGCAGATAACTATGCTGCTGCCTAAATGTTTGTTGGGCATTAGAATGCACTCATTTATGCTGTTCTTGACCCTCTCCATGGCCTGTCTGTTTGCTTTGGAAAAAAGCCAGTCTTTCTGATCTATACAACACCTAGTGCAGGAAATCCTGCATCTTCTTGAGTTACAGTTGAAGGCAGGGAGCCTCTTCTTCTGTGTCCCTTACTGGAAGGAGGGCTGGGATGACTGGACTCAGCTTTCCACATCTGTGCTAGGGGAATTCATAGAGGGGAGCCTGAGACTTGTCTCCAGAGGTTCCACTTTAACCTCCTTAACTGCAAGGCCCACAGGAGAATGCATATCGCATGTGGAAATTAGGGAAAGCCTTTTGTTATGCTGTAAGACTCTCTAGGAAAAAAGAATAACCCTCTCATGTTCATTTTGTTCAAGTTCCTAAAGCCCTTGTTTAGGGCTAATAGAAAGATGTCTTTGGGGACTTGTACCAAAGGCTTGAGGACTGCCTTCCCCTGAGGCTGTGAGGTGTGAGGTGAATGTAAAGAAACCATGGTTATGGAAGGGATTTGGGATGACCATGAACTGTTGGGAGTGTTTATCCAAGTTGCTTCGATGGTGGATGTGGACGTGAGCTGGTGTCTTCTGGTATTCTGCTTATCATGGAAACTGTCTTCCATGTTCATTCACAAAATGTGTTCATTTTGTAGTATTTAAATACGCTGTGAAGTATAAAAAGATAGAGCACTTTACCTTGTAGTCATATATTCAGCTCTATGACCTAAAAAGAAAAAGAATGAAAGTAAATTGACTGAATCAATGGATTATGTTTAGAATGCTTTTGCACCTGTCCCATTTATTTATTTGTTTGTTTGTTTGTTTTTGTGTGGGTAATGGAATTGAACTCAAGGCTCTGGTGCTATTCTTTAGTTTTTTCTACTCAAAGCTGGTGCTCTACCACTTCAGGCAGACCTCCACCTCTGGCTTTTTTTGTGGTTAATTGTAGATAAAAGTCTCATGACCTTTCTGTCTGGACTAGTTTTGAACAGTGATCTTCAGATCTTCAACCTTCTTTGGAGCTAAAATGACAGGTGAAAGCCACTGGCACCTGGCTTTGTCCCCTACTTACACATTCCATAATAAGATATGAAAAGCAGATGATGCAACTAATAATTCAAAGTCACAATGTCATAAAATCTATACATAAACTTTAATATGATCTGTAGATTGGAGAAATATGTTTCATTTGGCAGTCTGAAGTAGGGTTCTTTTATTTCTTTTCAGGAAAATAAGAAATAATTGCTTTGTTGCAACTGTTAAGTTCAAATGCAAACTATAATGTTAGTTATTTGCTCTGTCTTGATTGATAGTTCGGAAAAAGAAGTAGGAGATAAAATAGGGTTGGAAGGACTCATTTTCCCTTAAACTAAATTGGTATCCCTTCTGTGATATGAAATCAGGGGACAGAGACAGAGTTGTATTCTACAGTCAGAAATGACATTTGCAGATAATAAGGGACAAGGACATTATATTACACTATACACTATCAACTTGTAAGCTAAAAAAAAAGCCCTTTCAAAGTTCTACCATTATGTGCATGAGTTGCTTTTATACATTTGATCTTCTTGACTTGTTTTAAATAACAAGACTGAGTTTTTCTAACACTCTTAGAACCCACATCAATCTCTTGCTTAGATTCCCGGTGGAGCCATGGAAAGAGAACCATAATGCATAGATTCAGACTTACAGGGAGGGGCAAGGCTGTCAATCAACTGTAGAGAAAATTGGCTAGTGGGTATAGTGAATGACTAGTCCTAGGCTGCAACAAGGCCTTGTACTCACTTATTAATTCTCTGTTCTTGAATAACAAGTAATATAAAATAAAAAATAATTGGCTTGGCAGGAAAGTGCTAGGCCCTGACTTCAAAGGGCTACTCTGTGTGTGTGCGCGTGCGTGCATGTGTGTGTGTGTGTGCACATGTGTGCATGTGTGTGTGCGTGTGTTTGTGTGTGTGTGATATCCAGGAGGCAATGAATATTATCAGAGAATTGCTTTTTCAACATAGATCCAGGCTATTCCAAGTGTTGGCAGAATCAATTCCTGGCTAGACTTGGAATGAGGATGAGAAGAAAAAGAATCAGATGCTCCTACCTGCTATCCAGTTTTAACTCTCTTCTACTTTTTTAAGATAGAGAACAAGTTTATTTGAAAGATAAAGGACCACAGCAAAACAGACTTTCCACAGGGAGAGGTCCCAGATCTGGAATGCAATTGCGTTTTCTGGGAGGGTGATTAATATAGTATTCATGCATTGCTCTGGTTCTTTTCAACAGCTGATTCATGGCATTATGGGTTATCTGTTATCTGCACTGTGATAGGTCTCTTCTTTTGGCCAATGTTCTTCAACTTTGAAGGAAACTAAGGGAAATTGTATAAAGAATTCTAGAAAAATGTGTAGCTATTTATGAATAAAGTGAATGTCTACTGGAAAGTAAGCAGAAAATTGAGCTGAGTGTGGCGTGTGGGGTACCATGAGGAAATCCTAGTGGAAATGTACACAGGAAGCTGGAGAGACAGGATTCAGGCATGGAAGAAGACAGGGCTGAGCACCACTGCTGGTTGGTATGTGCTGGCTAAGATGGCCCTGGGTGAACCAAAGGAAGAGGGTAGAGAAGCACTTGACTTGTGTTGCGCAACATTGTTATGTTTCATGCTTTATTCTGACATGAAAGTCTGATATATGTTAGTAACAGCAATATAAAGCAAAATAATATTTATTTGATACTATTTTAACAAATATCCTAAGCATCAATTAAGCAACAGATTTTCTAAAGTTTTCTAAGCTGTTTCATCTTCCTTCCCTTCCTTCCTTCCTTCCTTCCTTCCTTCCTTCCTTCCTTCCTTCCTTCCTTCCTTCCTTCCTTCCTTCCTTCCTCCCTCCCTTTCCTTCTTTCCTTCTCCTTCCCTCCTTCCTTCTCTTTCCCTTCCTTTCCTTTTTCCTTCAACATGTATACTTTCTACCTCCCTGCCTTAGCTCCAGAGTGCTGGGATTATAGGCACATGACATCACACCCAGCATAAACACTTTCTATGAAGTATTTTTAACTCACAATTTTTACAATAACTTTATGAGATACCTTGCATTCTATTTCTTATTTTCCAATGGAGACTGAAATAGGAAAGCAATTCACCCCAGGCCATGCATTAATATAGAGTAGATCTGGCACTGGTGTCAGATATTTTTTGATTCTAGACATGAGACCCCAAGCATTAGCCTGTATTGCCTTTAAAAATGAAAATCTTAGGCTGATTAGCTTAGTGGTAGAGTGCTTGTTTAGCATGCACAAGGCACTAGGTTCAATCCCTAGCACGACTTTTCTTGGAAAACAGTTAGAATAATCCTGGAAGAGAGGCAGGAATCATGGCTTATGTTTGTTTGGTTTTTTTCTCCTTCTACTGAGGTTTGAACTTAAGGCCTCACACATGCTAAGCTGGTTCTTTACCACATGAACCACAATTCCTGCCCTGCACTTTTTACTGATGGAGATTTTGAAGTTGGAGTCTAGTGAATTCTTTTGCCCAGGCTGGTCTTGAACTTCCGTCTTCCAGATCTCAACTTCCTGAATAGCTAGGATTGCAGGCCTGAGTCACTGGTACCTGGAATAGCTCATACTTCTGTCTGCCCTATATAGCTAAAACAAAATACAAATGGTGAGGAATTTAATATCAATTAAAAATTATATAACTATGTAAATTAGTAACTATCTATATACTGTTTTATTTGTTTTTATTTGTCTTTTATTCTTTCATTGTTTCCATCCATGAATGTTTCTTTTTCATTTTTTTTCCTGATTATCCAGAGAATTATAGCTTGCCACCTTGACTTACTATGGTCAAAAGACCATCACTTGTAATACTTCTGCAGCCTAACTAGTGCCTCTTAACTGTAGTAAATATCTATATGTTTAAATTGAGTAACATAGGACAATGACTTTCATGCAGTCAAGTGCTAAGATATTGAAAATAACACTTTATAACTTAGAAAATATTTGTCATTTTTAAAAGATATCCCAACCAATTATTTCCTAGATTTAGGAAAAGATGATAGATAAAATGGCTCATATTATTTCACTCCATTCATCTATGGATAATTATGTGTGATAAAAAATTAAAAACCTATAAAAGATACACTTTGAATAATGAGCTAAGAGCAAGCTTTGCAAGAACCATCATTCTCAACACAAGCACACTACCACATCCATTGTTTATGCAGCTAATAGTCCTGAGTATATCTCCACTGATGAATGAGGTTTTATTTTTAATCAGTATCATCATTAATAGATCAATAACACACAAGCACAGAAGATGCTCATTCCCAGAGAAACTCAAAAGCTTCCAGTAGTCTGAGGATTAGCTTTCAAATGTTTTCTTTGGAGGCTTGTTTAATTATTAAAAACTACAGAACATCCCTGGCTTATACAAGCCATTTGGAGGAAATAAATTGACCCAGGATGAACTTACTTGAGGTACAAACACCTCCTCTGACTGATCTTAGTTCATTTGGGAACTGGGAAGGGAATTACTTTTCACACCTAAATGCGTCTTATCTCTATATAGCAAAAGGGAAAACCAAAATATAAATTAGGTGGCAAAAAAAAAAGCTAGAGAAAAAATATTTGAAATATGCATAGCTTAAACTGGCCAGAGACACCCTAGATTTATTCTCTAATGAATGACCAATGAAGTCTCAGGATATTACTTTCCAGCTCTATAGCACTACAGTGGGGCTTTTCCAAAAAGATGGAATTATTCACAATCAGCTTCTCTTTTGCAAGTACATTTGTACTCTTCCTCAAAGACAAGCAACTTCCTCAAAGACAAGCAATGGATTAAGTGAAGATAAGCCATTGAATTCCATTGTTAGAAACCTTATGCCCAGGGCAAGAAATAATGTTATGTAGAATTCAGCTTTCATTTTCAGATTTTCTGTTTGGCCAGAGTGCATTTACACTCTTGTAACTCCAAGTGTTGTATACACAAAGAAGCCAATGTGAACATTAGACTCATTACTGAAATAGAAAAAAAAATAATAACAGTGCCCCCCCCCCTTTTTTTTAATACAGATGTGTATTTATTTGCTGTGGTCAATCTAACTTTGATTTAAAAAAAGAAATTACATCATGGAAGGGGTGACCCTGATCAAAATAAAATGCACTGTACTTGTAAATTGAGTGAACTGAAACCCCTTTGTACAGCTATATAAAAATAATTTTAAAAAATGAAGACCTGGCGCCCATGGCTCATGTCTGTAATCCTACCTACTCAGAAGGCTGAGATTTGAGGATTGTTGTTTGAAGCTGGCCTGGGCAGGAAAGTCCATGAGTCTCTTATCTCCAATAAACCACTTAGAAAAAGCCAGAAGTGGCATTGTGGCTCAAGTGGTAGAGTGCTAGCCTTGAGCATAAGGAGGCTCAGAGACAATGCCCAGGCCTTGAGTTCAAGACTTAGACTGGCAAAAAAAAATTAAATCACATCATAGAAAGATGTAATACTGATAGGGCATTGTATAATCCCTGCTACTTAGGAGGCAGAGATTGGAGATTCAAAGCCAGCCAGGGGGAAAAAACCTAGTGAGACCCAATCTCAATAGACAAGCCAGATTGTGGTTCCCTGGGGGGGGAAAAAAAAACATGGGTCTGAAAAACAAGTATAGCAAAGAGAAAAGAGGATGGCAGTATGGCTCAAGGGGTAGAATAGCTGGTGAGGCCTTGGGTTCAAATCACAGGACTGCTAAAACAGATAACAAAGATATAGTAGTGTTGCTGAAGATGAAAAACACAAGAATTGTCCCAGTTTATGGCGTGTTCCTTGCTATTGTAATACTTTTTAAACACTCAGAATTCTGAATCTTGACAGTGCCACTTTAAGAGCTCAATCCATGTTGTAAATTAAAGAACTGACCGGGCCCCTGCTAGCCTGCCAGAGAGTGCAGTGAGGCAGGCCAAGCACATGTCTGTAGTTACAGCTTCAGCTGTGTGTGATCAACAGCTAAATCCCTGGGTTAGCTCTATTTGTTTTGCTATGAAGGCCGTTCTTGCAGTAGCAAACCTAGTACAATTCAGAGACAGTGTCTATGTAAAAAGTCAAGCCTGTCCCCAAACACACCCCTTAATCCTGTATTACTAGCCTTATCTCACCAGATCAGGACTTTGATTGCTTCCTAAGAGATCACCATTGGATTACTTCAACTTGAGACAGGTGCCATACTGTCTCCCAAGTTTCCTTTGCAGTGAGCCTATTAACCAAATGCCTTGCACAGAAAACCCACATTTCACAGTGCTTGAACAAAAAGATGTGTGTGGAGGTATGTCTCCCATATACAAACTTTTTTCTGAGTGTCCATCTCAAGCAGTGACCAGCAACTGGGGAGGTGCCAAGTCTGCATGAGGAGCTGCACTGGGGAGAAGAGAGATGTGTCTCCAGTTCCTTTTGCAGAATAAGTTAAGCCCAGTGAAGCTCTTATACACCTAAACATTGGCTGGGCCACTGGAACAATGGTGCCCAATGAAAGAGAGCCAGAGATAAAGAAATGCAGACCTAAGAGTTTACAAGATATAATATAATAGAGCTATAGTTAGGTACCGGTGGCTCATGCCTGTGCTCCTAGCTACTCAGGATGCTAACATCTGAGGACTGTGGTTCAAAACTAGCCAAAGCAGATAAATTGGAGAGACTCTCATCTCCAGGTAACTAGCAGAAAGCCCAAAGTGGAGCTGTGGCTCAAATGGTAATCAGCTTAGAGCGAAAAAAGCTAGGTGAGTGCATGAGGCCCTGAGTTCAAGACCTTGTACCAGCACAAAAACAAAATAAGATGAAGAAAAAAATATAACTTTTACCCAGAGCGCCAGTTAAATGCAGAATCTGGCATAGGAAGCCGGCAAGTTGGCCAAAATATAGCCCAATCCAATAATGACATATAGAGTCATCTTAACCACTAGGGCTTTTGCTGAGGGAGACATAAGAGAATTTATGTTGAATGAGTACCATAAAACTTTCAGAATGTGGCTCCAAGCCACATTAACACATGTCTGCATGTCGTGCCAAACGAAGGCACCTCTTCTTATATCCTTCAAACTCTTTTTCAAAAGCAGCAGCCAGTCTTGGAGGGAAGGACTCTGTCTAAAATTCAGCTACACTGAAGATCATCTGTGCTCTGGGGCTGGCAGCTGACCTTGGGACATTATGTGAAGTATCAGGCATTTATGGAAAATGAGAAAAAAGGGAATTTATATAAAACTATGAAGAGAAAAAGGAAAAATGGAGCACAATTGTTCAAGCAAGGAAACTACTAAAAGATAAAAAGACTTCTTAAAAAAGTTTAAACCTACAAGGGCTGGGAAGGTGGCTCAGTGGTAGAGTGCTTGCCTTGCATGCATGAGACCCTGAGTTTGATTCCTCAGCACCACATAAGCAGAAAAAAAAAGCCGAAGTGGCGCTGTGGCTCAAGTGGTAGAGCGCTAGCCTTGAGCTGAAGAAATGAAGGACAGCGCCCAGGCCCAGAGTTCAGGTCCCACGACTGGACTCCGCCACCCCCCCCCCCCCAAAAGAAAGTTTAAACCTACAGAACAGCTGAAAGAATAATGCAAGGAATATTCTATACTTTTCATTTAGATTTATCATATTCTAACACCTACCAAATTGGCTTTATCTTTACTTTCTCTATTTCTCTTGGTAAATGTGCATACACATATATACATATGCAATATACATATGTACATGTATACATACAGGCACACATATATACATGAATATATAAAGCACACACAAAAGCATGTCTGTATATATACATGTACACACATATATCCACATATACCCATACATACACACATATATAGACTACTTTCATTTTTTTGAGCCATTTCAAAGTAAGCTGTAGACATTTCACTTAAGCAAATATTTTTTAAGAATGATATGATTTACAAGAATATTCTTGTTTGTAACTATATTATCAGTAATATACATAAAAATTAACATTAAATAAATTAATTTAATATGTAGTACATTTTCCCATTGTGCTTAAAATCTCTTTTATAGCTTTTGGGCTTCGATTCAGAACTTAGTGAAGGTTTATATATCACATTTGGTTATTCTTTTTCTTAGACTCTTTTCAGTAATTCAGTGTGTGTGTGTGTGTGTGTGTGTGTGTGTGTGTGTGTGTGTGTGTGTGTGTGTGTGTGTGTGTGTGTGTGTGTGTGTGTGTGTGTGTGTGTGTGTGTGTGTATGCCAGTCCTGTGGCTTGAACTTAAGGCCTGGACTCTGTGCCTGAGCTTTTTTGTTCAAGGCTAGAACTCTATCACAGGAGCCAGTTTCATTTCCAACTTCTTGGTGGTTAATTGGAGGTAAGACTCTCACAGACTTTTCTGCCCAGGATGACTTTGAACTGTGATCCTCAGATGTCAGCTTCCTGAGCAGCTAAGATTACAGATGTAAGCAACCAGAACTCATGTTTTCCCCCCAAAACCCAGGCACTTGGAAGTGGTGATGTGGTTCAGAGTGGTAGAGGGCTAGGCTTGAGTGAAAAAGCTCAGGGACAAAGCTCGGGCCCTGAGTTCAAGCCCCATAAACACCACCACCACCACCAACAACAACAACAAATCCAGGCACTGGTGACTCATGCCCATAAATCCTCAGGATACTGAAATCTGAGGATTGTGGTTTAAAGCCAGTCTGGGCAGAATAGTCCAAGAGATTCTATTTTCCGTTAACCAGCAGAATTGTGGACTGGAGCTGTAGATTAAATGGTAGAGCACCAACGGGTGAGCAAAAAAGTCTAACAAAAGTACAAGGTCTTGAATTCTAAGAATAAAACATATTATTTTTTTTCTGACTTTTGAACCATGTAATACATCCTCACTTTGGTCATCATAATGTCAAGGGTTTAGAGTTGGGCCTTCATCACTCACATCATTCCAACTTCTTTCTCCTGTATTTGTTTTCAGATTGCATAATGTCTATAGTGTGAATAAAAGATAATTAAAGTTACAGACTCTAAGTCTCTTATGACAATGACTTTGCTTCTTTTAAATTCCATGAAGACAAGAAGAGAAACAATAACATTTACACAGTCCCTTTTGCCTATGGTGCATTTTGGTGTATTTCCCCCATTTCCTTGTTTGTAAATATGAGGCAATCACTAGTGCCCAGTTAGGAATAAAGCTCAGAACAATGCTTGGCACAGAAAAGCCTTATATAAACACTTGATGTTGTTTGTGTTATTAGGCATGGTAATTTATTTATACCATTAGGTCTTTCTCAACTACCAACAATGCCTAACGAAAGAAAAAAGAACTAAACTGGTTTAACTGGTTTCTAGAGTTCCAAAAGGTAGTAGATAGAACCACAAATACCAGCCCATAAAACAAACAAGGGTGGGGCCCAAAAGTGAAGGAGGAAGTAACAGGTCAACAGGTGGATGGTTTTTCCCTGGGTTTACTATTCCTTCTCAAGTTTACTATCCAGCTTAAAAATAAAGTTAGCCAGGTGTCACTGGCTCACACCTGTAATCCTAGCTATGCAGAAGGCTGAGATCTGAGGATTGAGGTTTGAAGCTGGCAGCAGCCCATGAGACTCACATCTCCAGTTAATCACCAAGAAGTTGGAAGTGGAACTAAAAAAGCATTCAGGCTCTGAGTTCAAACCCCAGTACCAGTACAATCACACAAAAACAAACAAGAGTTGTTGGGAGACCATATGACAGGTACAGTTAGACCCAAATGTAAAGCTTCACTTACAAATACACAATTCACATTCCTCATGGGATATACTCAGATCCAAAATGTAACTCAGGTCCCCATCCCATTTATTCCAGAGAACCCACCTTCTCCAAGAGTCCTCTGCAGCAAGTCATGTTTGGCTTGGAGTTTTGTGATGAGATTACTGCCTTCCAGATACTCTCTGAGTTTCTGTAAAAGGCGAGATCAATAATTTTAAAAAAACAAAGCCTATTCAAATGTCAAGGAACTCCTAGATATCAACACTTGGCAACCTATTAAAAAACTCAGATTTGGCTAGGTCCCGGTGGCTCATGCTCATTATCCTAGCTACTCAGAAGATCTAGGATTGAAGTTTGAAGTCAGCCCAGACAGGAAATTCTGTGACATTATTAACTACTAATTAACTACCCAAAAAGCCAGAAGTGAAGCTGTTGCTCAAGGGGTAGAGTGCTAGCCTTGAGCAAAAAAGGCTCAGGGTCAATGCCCAGGCCATGAGTTCAAGCTTTAGTATCAGTACACACACACACACACACACACACACACACACACACACACACACACACACACACACACACACACACACACACACACACACACACACACACACACACACACACACACACACACACACACACACACACACCGGACTTATTTTAAATGTGCTGTTTTAAAGCAGTCCTAATAACTCCAAAACTCTACCCACAGTGCCTGGACCAGAACCTCTGAAGTAAACAGGAGTTCATATTTTATTCAAGACCCCCCAATCTGGGAAACCCTGTATCTGGGCTCTGTCCAGAGTGACTTGGGATCAAGGATAGGCGCACCATGAAGTAGAACTGCTCAGTTTCTTGCTGGTTGGCTCTTCTCTTGGCGATGCTGGGCTTACTCAGGTAGGTTTCAGAGACAGTGGACTTCACAGACTCTGTAGAGCGGCTGTGCTGGAAGCATTCCGACACATCGTAGTCCTCGATGGTGACCATGTCTTGGATGGTCTGTAAAGTGGCTTCAGTTGTTTTCTTGACCTGCAACAGAAACATGCCTCACGTTAATACATGAATCCATACAGACCCGATGAGAGCCCATTCTGCCAGGTAGAGATGAGGACACAGATCCTGTCCCTGTGGATTGCAGAACATCCTAGAGGAGACAGACATGTCACCAACACAAGAAGGATATTGTTTTCTATGTGAGTATGCAGAAAACTCAAAGACCACTGGGGATTCTCTCAATTTCCTTTTAAAAAAAAAGCTTTTGTTTTATTGTTTTTTTCCTATATTGGGGCTTGAACGCAGGGTCTGGTTGTTGTCCTGTAGCTTTTCTGATCCGGGCTGGCATTCTACCATGTGAGCCATAATTCCATTTCTGGCTTTTGCTGATTAATTCGAAATAAGGGCCTCATGGACCTTCTTGCCTTCAATGTATAATCCTCAGGTTTTTGCTTTGTGAGTAGTAGCTAGGAATCACAGGCAAGAGGCATCAGCTCCTAGCCTTAAAATCTTTTAAAATGAAGTAAAACTACATATGGAAAAATATGCAGCCAGAAGCATACATACCTGATGCATGGTTATGATGTGAACACGCTTGTGTGGACACCTGTCAGGTAAGGAAGCAGTGTACTGGGGCACCCTCACGTCCTCCCGATTAGCATGTGCCCTTTCTGTCTCCTCAAATTCCCCTAATGCCTGACTTCATATATTAGCTTTGTCCTATTCTGTGCTCTACATAAATGGAATCTTACAGCACATATTATTATTGTTGTTGTTATTTTTGTGTGTATGTGTTGGTCCTGGGACTTGAACTCAGGGCCTGGATGCTGTACTTAAGTTTTTTCTTTTGCGCTCAAGGCTAACACTTGGTCATAACAACAGCTCCACTTCTGGCTTTGTGCTGGCTAATGTCTTATGGATCTTCTAGCCTGGGCTAACTTTTGGATGGCAATTTGAGATCTCAGCCTTCTGAGTAAGCGACTGGCACCTGGCAGCATGTATGGTTTTTATCTTGTTTGTTTGGCTCAGTGAATGAGATTCATTCATTCCTTGTGAACAGAGTATTTCACTGTTGAAATGGTGTTCCATTTTGGTTTCAACATGTGTGTCCCTGATGTATGAGATTGAGCATGTTATAGTATTTAAGGCAAGTTGGATTTCCTTCCTTTGGCATGTTCTGCAGAACAAAACCCAGCAGACATGCATATGAGTCTTCTGTGAGTTACATATGTATGTAACATATGTATGTTATAAATTCTTTTCATTGTGCTACTATTTATTTCCAAATGTAGTTTCTACTTTTAATCAACTTATCAATTCTTTTCTTAATGGTTAAGGCCTTTTTGGGGAAGGAGGGGTTCTAGTATTACAACTCAGAGCCCTGTGCTTGGTAAGCAGGTACTCTATAATTTGAGCCATGTCTCCAGTCCTGTAAGAGTATTTATTGCTTTGTGTGTCCTTTTAAATAATTATTTCCCTTTTGCATGGCCACGAAGATACTATTCTGTATTTCATGTGTCTCCTAGAAGTTTCCTTTTACTTATTTTTCTTTACTTATCAAACATTATATTCTACCCTTGCTATCAAAGTCTAAAGTAAATTGATAATCATACCCCTTTTCCACACAATGTAAAGAGTTTAGAACACTCTAGTTGCATTTATCCCAGTTGTTTGAAATCTTCCCTCCCTCCATCCCTCCTTTCCTTCCTTCCTTCCTTCCTTCCTTCCTTCCTTCCTTCCTTCCTCTTCCTCTTTTTGTGTGTGCCAATACTGGAGCTTGAACTCAGGACTTGGGTGCTATCCCTTAGCTTTTTTTGCTCAAGGCAGGCACTCTACCACTTTAGCCACAGCTCCACTTCTGACTTTTTGGTTAATGGGAGATGAGTCTCATGGACTGTTCTGTCAGGGCTGGCTTTAAACTATGAATCTCAGATCTTAGCCTTCTGAGAAGCTAGGATTATAAGTGTGAGCCACCAGCACTTGGCTCCACTTTCTTAGAAATGGTGTTGTCAGTTACATTTCTACAAGTAAACTCAATGGATAATATAAGACAAATAAGTCTACCTGGATGTGATTAATTAAACAGCATTCTCTCTTTTTTCTAGCTCTTTTCTCTCTCTTTCCTAGCTCTCTCTCTTTCCCAGCTTTCTTTCCCAGGCCTTTCCCCACCGCGTGGAGGACCAAGATGGCCTGGTGCCAGCCAGAATGATGAATAAACCTACCCCTTACCTGAATACCACGTGCATGGTGCTGTTCTTACTCGATCACCTCTTTTTAAAAACCTAACATAAATGGTGCTGTGACTCAGATAAAGGGCTTAAAGTCAGGATAGGTGGGATTCCTCTCTGCTTTTTTCCTTCTTTTTTCTTTTTTTGTTTGTTCTTCCCTTTTTGTTCTGAGGAATACCCACAGTTCTGACGGTGTTTTGCAAACCCATCTGTCTGCTGCAGACACAGTGCATCGATACCATTGCTGGCCTTCACATCCACGTCCACACCACCTCTCTACTCTGGTGAGTGAAACTACTCTCTACGGTTCTCTGTTGCTCAGTCTCTCTCCAGACGTGGCGCCATGCCAGAGAGCTCTACGGCCTTTAGCCAAAAGGCCAGTCACCTCTGAAGCCGAGGACACTTGGCTTTGGGGGCTTGGCCATTTCTCTCTAGAGGCTCTGGGGGAAGTCGGGACACTGCTTCTGCCTGGTCAGCTTGTACAGCGTTTTGGCTGTGCCCTGAAGAATGCGACGCAGGCTGGGTCCTAGGAACCCCCCTCTAGGTTCCCTCTCAAAGGTTAGCCAATGTAGGCTTAGCCAATGTAGGCTTGATCTATTTGTTCAGGATTTCTTTACGTTTTTTCAGAAATTTGCCATCTTGGCCACATGGTGGGTTAAGAGTTTGGTCTCATCTGACTCTCAACCTTCCACCAAGCTTACTACTCCATCCATCTATTCTAAGGTGCCTTGTTAGCAAGTTGCTCTTTTCACAAGCCCTGGTAACTGAGGCCCAACCATCTGATGTGCTTTGTTAGCAAAGATGTCTAAACGTTCTCAAAATTTTAGGTTTTGAGTTTTGCCTTTTTTGTTTTGTGTTGTGTATTCTGGTACTGACTACATGACTCTAAAATATTGGGCATATCTGTGCTAAGATTCTCACATCCAATGAGTTTTGTCATTTCAGAATATTTGTTGGCAATTCTTAGTAAGAACCAGGTAAACTCTACTTATTCTACATGATCTCCTTGTTGCTTTAATTGGAAATAATAAAGGGCTTTTGTGGCAAAGATTGCAGTTCAAAGCCAGCCCGGGCCGAAAAATCCCTAAGACACCATCTCCCAACTAACCTGCAAAGAACCAGGCTGGAAGCATGGCTCAAGACTCTTATCTCTATCCAGCCAAACATTGGAAGTGGTACTGTAACTCAACGTGGTGAGCACTAGCCTTGAGCAGAAGTGCTTAGGGACAGTTCCCAGGCCTTCGGTTCAAACCTCCTTGAATACCAACTGGGTCAAGCCATCCCAGCAACGAACACCTAGACTCAGCCAGTCTGGGGAACAAGGGAACATGGAGAGGAGTAAGAGGAGATGATGTCACATCAGCAACTTTGTGTCTGCCCTTTCAAAATTAACCAGAGCTGGGAGGTTAGTAGAAGTAAGAAGCCTGCCCATCCAATGTCTATACCTGTCTACCTATTAACTGAACAGGAATTTATATTCTTGCCTTTGTCACCTGACTTCGCTACCTAGTCACCAGATGTCAGAAGTAGCTAGGGACATTTCTATCAACATTTTCAGCCCCAAGTCCTTCCTCTTGCCATTTATTTGCTCTCTAGTATTTTCTTTTTCCAGCCCCTCAATGCTAATGAGACTTCTTCAGACTTCATCTAAGGACTCAACGCCACCAAGGGACAGCTGCTGCTCACTTCCTTCTCTGGGAGGGGACCAAATTCCAGCCTTTTACCCCTATTGTCGACGCCCCTTGTCAGCAGGAAGTAGCCAGAGAGAATCTGCGCCCTATTCCATGATTATTAAAAGGCTGGAATGTAAGGTCCGCTCCTGGATGGCAAGCAGACTCCACCCTCCTCGCAGCAGTCTCTGCCCAGTACCTGTGTTACCTAGGCAACTGGCACACCTGGAAGAGGTCACATCTGCATCTGCTGAGGTCACGTCTGAATTTGATGTGGCCACACCTTTCTCCGCCCATACCTTAGATAAGGCCTAGCCCAGGCCCAGACGCCCTCTTTTCTAGCTCTTTTCTCTCTCTTTCCCAGCTCACTCTCTTTCCCAGCTCTCCCAGCTCTCTTTCCCAGGCCTTTCCTTGCCGCGTGGAAGACCAAGATGGCCTGGTGCCAGCCCGGAACAATGAATAAACCTACCTTTTACCTGAAAAAACAAAAAAAACACCCCCCCCCCAAAAAAAAACCCCAGCATTCTCAACATTCACACAGTGAAAACAAAGGAGAATATTTTTTTTTTTGGTGATAGTCCTGGGGCTTGAACTCAGGGCCTGGGCACTGTCCCTGAGCTTCTTTTGCTAAAGGCTAGCATTCTACCTTGAGCCACAGCCCCACTTCTGGCTTTTTCTGTTTTATATGGTAATGAGGAATTGAACCCAGGGCTTCATGCATGCTAGGCAAGCACTCTACCACTAAGCTACCTTCCCAGCCCCCAGAGGAGAATATTCTTAGGAGAGGATCACAAGGGTTCAATAGCTATGCAATATGACCATATAAGATGATAATTATCTAAATGAACCCCAAGAAATGGAAGGGGAGGTTTTTTATTGTACTGTTTTCAGTTCTTCGCCCCCCCCCCCCCACCTTCTTTCACTGTTTTTGATTTCTGTACCCTTGTCTTGAATATAAGTTTATTTGATTTGGGGAGGGGAAGGGGAAGCACAGAAAGGTGGAATAAAAGGTGAAGCAATTCAGCAGTGATACTCAATAGACACTATGTTGAAAATGAACCATACAATTTGTGGGGGAGGGAGTCGGGAGAGCAAAAACAGGGAGAGAATGAGGGAGAAGGTGACACTGTTCAAAAGG